CTAAAATAAATAAATGAATAAATAAATAATTAAAATTATGCCAGGTGTTCTAAAGCTCTCTTAAAAATAAGCGATACGGGGTGCGTTTGACCGAACCTGACAGGGTACAGAGCCGTTGCTGCTCGTTACTTGAAACCTGACACAGCTGTACGCACAAAAGATTCATTTCTGCCCAACTTATGGCTTTTCCGCTGGTCAGTTTATGAGGTCACGTAAGAATTGAAATCCCGCATCCCGCTCTGTTCCCCTTGAGAATCGCGCGTCCCAACCCCATAAATAACACGAAATCCCGCTCCCGCTCGTAATTGTAATTCCCGCTTCCCGCCCCTGTTTTCAGCTCAAATCCCGAATATCACGGCAAAAAAAAGCCAAATCCTGCATCCAAATTCCGCAGGGCCTTGCAAGGCCTTGTCCCAAAAATTCAAACTGGTTTGAATTCGTGGGAGTTGTCGCCGCGACTTGTTGCAGAAACTAGTCCCCTCGTGTGTGTGCCGACCTTAATACACAAATTGGGCCAATTAAGTAACCATGATGCCTTGATACCTTACCCATATTAGCTCAATGACTTGATAGCGAAGTGAACACGGCTTGTGATTGCTGATTGCGAATTTGAGGACGATAGATTTTATTGATTCCTGGCAAAAGCGAGCGAGACCTGAAGACAACTTTTCAAACGCACTGGAATGTACTTCGTAGAACTTGTATAACAGAACGGGCATAGGATATAGAAGCCACGAAATCCCACTCCCGCTCGTAATTGTAATTCCCGCTTCCCACCCCTGCTTTCAGCTCAAATCCCGAATATTACGGCGAAAAAAACAAGCCAAATCCCGCGTCCCGCCAAACCTATTGGGGACCCTCAGGGTAACCTCCCGGGCACAAAACATTTATATTATCAGTTGGTCAAATTCCCATCCCTCGACTAGGCCAAAAATGGTGTCGAATGCTTCACCTTTACTGAGCAATTAAATACCCCAACCCTCAGGACATACGTGAAAAGAGAAAAACGGTGGAAAACAAAAAACATCACCCTCGAAGGACTACTTTCAGCTTTCGCTATGCCAACAATAACCTCTTGCTAACCGAGTGCGAGGGCTGTATTGGGGAATATTGGCCCGAGGTCGTGGCAGTGCGGACCTCGCTGCGCTCAGTCCGTATAAAAAGAACTGAGGGACAATACTCCCCATCACAGATCGAGCAAGCTAGGTTAGTAAGTAGATTGTTCTATGGCACTCGGGCCTTGACTTTTCGAAAGCAAAAAATACACTACTTATGACAGTTTCCATGGATACGGTCCGTACGGCAAAATCCGGACCAAGAAAGAACCAATCAGAACCCTCGGATTTACTCTTAGACTACTTTGCCATGTGGTAATGATTTTTACTATATTATTGAAGCGCAGAAGTGACTACATTTTCGCAAGTGAGATCGACTTTATATTTACCTTCAAACGCTGTATAAACGTTTTTGAAGGTTTTGTTCTTGATCCAGAACGTATACAAGGAATAATGGTTTCTTAACGTCTTCTTCATAGTGATCTCGAGGTAACTTGTTCAATTTTCCCCATCACCTCCCATAAAGTGTCAAATTCTCCAACCCACTATTTTAAACCTCTTATCTCAAATTCCCGCCCATCGACTAGTCAAAGCCCCGGGTGAGATGTCGATGTCGATATTAAACATATTTAACATCAAAGTCTTTAGCTTTTATAGATTCGTTTTTACAACATCGGTGGTCAAGTGAGTCCGACTTAGCTATTAACTCGCTAAGAAACTAAGAATCGATTTTCTTTTATTTAAGTGAGATAGATTTTGTTCCGGTGAAAACGAGCGTGCGCATGCCATTTTTTTGTATGCCCCTTTAATTTTTTTGGTCTGCGGTAGCTCCACTTTACAGGAATCTCATCTGTTTTGCTTTAATTGCACGATGAACGACGGCATGGAAAAGAACTGGCTAAAATTACTTTAGTGCTTTATTTAACTTGTTTTACTATCCACTCACACACGAGCTGAGTGTAAAACTAAAAGAAAGAAATTCAAGGTACTCAAAAGAGCATCAATATTTAGCGCAGCGAAGGCACCCGGGCACAAGCGTAGGACTGAGCGTGTCACCTTCAATTTTCAAAAATTTAAGGTGGCTCTGAGTCCACAATACAGATTTTTTTTAACTTTTAAAAAAGTTGCACCTTATTATCTTGCTTGTCACAATTCCATGATAAAAAAAAAAACAACAACAACAAAACAAAGCTAAAACTAAGGGTGAAAATACCGTGAATGAGCTCCTTTAAAGCACGCGCATGCTTGCAATTGTGTCTAATACGCCAAGGAAGGAAGTGAGTAAGTAACTGAGCAAGTATGAAAAACATTACAGTACGTTGAGACTAACATCTGTTTGTAGGTTAATTCTCAATGTTTATTTCTTGTTGTGTTGATACATAGTGGATGGTCGGGCTGCACAATCACTTTATCACAAGGACTCATTCTTACATACTAGCCTTGATTCCGGGGGGGGTACACAGGACAGCAAGCACTGAATCATGGTTGATCATTACAGAACATACAGCCTTGGTAAAACCCTGTTGACACTTAGTTACAAAGCAAACGGTATTGCAACAGAGAGGCTAAGTAACAATACAGAATTTAACATTACTGCTCTGCTTCCCGGAGGAGAATCTTCGTTTTTTTCATAGTAGTTAAACCCACACGACTTCAATTTGTAGGATTTTCTGTTAACACTTTTTAGTTTACATTGGCCAAGTTCCTTTATGAACAGGTTATTTTGGAACTCGCCCTGGCTGTTGTATCCATGGCCATACTCGAAAGACTTGCAACTGGAAGGAAGAAAATGCACTAAGAATTAATTACTTAGGATGTAAAATTTAAAAGAAAAACATTGATAGAAAGTAAGATTGTAAGAAATTAACGTGTAAAATGTTGAAAGTAAATCGGCTGGCGAATTGAAATCATTAGCAAAGTACATCAAGCAATTTTATCATATGCACATTTTTTTGTCGTTGTTCACATACGTGGTTTTGGCGAAAAACGAAAAAGGACAGATGAGGCAAGCCAAACGTTAAAAAATTGGCAATTTCTATGCTATATTTCCTATATTATAAGTGTAAGCTTGATGTTTCCGCGTTTCCTTTATCTGACGGTCGTTTGTCCACTCATTGATCTCCAGTCAGTACAAAATCAGGAACCACTCGACTCTCTTTTCAAATTTTATAGAAAGACACTATCGTAGACTACGAGTAGTCCCTCCTTCGCTTAGTCCGTCATGCATCATGGGTGACGCGAAAGAAAACTGCGAGGAAAAAATGGCCTCGCAAATCCTGGGGGCGAGGATTTCGCGCGGCTATGTTTTCCTCACAGTTTTCTTTCGCGTCACCCATGACGCATGACGGACTAAGCGAAAGAGGGACTACACTATCGACGTGCAGCGGAGTATTTTTTACGAAATTCGAGGTGTTTGGATAGCCGACGAAACACTTTCTCGAGTGTTTGACATATCTTCTCAATCGAAACAAAAACTTAGGAGTAATCGGAGAAGTAAAATCGTCGAAATCTATGCTAATTAAAACCGGGTATCCAAACCTCCTTCACGTTGCTATTTTCTTTGTTTTAACTTGATAAATTATTCATGAGTTTGTGAAATTCTTTAATGAGTTTTTGAAAAGCTACAGGTCTTTACCTGGTATCGTTGCTGCACTTTTGAGCACAATATTCCACACTGGTGTTGTTATCAAGAGACATGTGGCTATCATGGTCCAGGCACATTTTTTTGTGAAGTGTGTAGTCTGAGAACTCTGAAACAACCAGACTTCATTAAAATAGCATAATTTACAATTGTATTTAAGACGACTAACACTGAATTAAATAGTTTCATACTTCAATAACAAATTAGACAATTGAGTTGGTTTCGATATGACACGGATAATAGTAGATCATCCATTTGACGAATCAGGTAAGGGTGTCAAAATGGCCAAACGACTGATTTGTACTACGGTGGAATCCCGTTGTTCCGGTCCGCAATGGGCCACAAAAATTTGGCCATATTAACGCCGTGGCCATATTAAAGGGTTTCATTAAATAGGAAGATGACTGACTGAGCTTTTGTTACTTCGGGTCAGAATAAAATGGCCGTAATAACGTGGTTACCGTTTTAACGTGGTGGCCGTAACGCGGGCTTCCGCTGTATTGTACTTCAAAACTCTATTTTGATTCCTTCTCGTTAATCTGCTCCTCTTTCGTTCTTAGGGTTAAGAACATTGTGTTTTTTATTCATTGCTCCGCTTGGCCAATTATAAAAAACCTTGTAAACGCTCCGCAGTTCGTCCCTGGCCAAAGACGTTTCTCAGATTCATAGGTCCGTTTGTTCCCTCAGTGATTTCTTAGTAAAGGGGAGGGGAAGGGGTATTAATCCCTGAATCGCCCGCATGGTAGCGTTTGCAGGTTTGACCGGCTTAGGGTGCGCTCCTTTGGAGTGATCTGGATCAGGATCAGTAATCCTAGATCATTCGGATTATGGTGCATCAAAGGAACCGATGACTCCGTGACCAGAGTAGATTCGTCGGTTCCTTTGACGCATCATGATCCGAGTGATCTTGGATCACTGATCCTGATCCAGATCACCCCTAGGGAACGCGCCTTTAATGAATGAAATTGCTTTTAGTCCTGGGGTAGCATGATCGAACATAGCTCGCCGTTGTTCCGCTTCATGAAAGCCAAATCGGCCGGCGGCTACGAGAGGTGACTACATTCTTAGGCTGAGTTGAGCTTACCTCCTGGAGGGATAGTAAAGGTTTTCCAGGGGCTATTAATACAGCTACTTGACTCATTTCTACTGCAAGCGCCCACTCTATAGCTGACGAAGAATTCGAAATTTAATTCAATTGCCACTGAAAACCTGTACTCTGGATTGAAAGCGAGACATGATGCATTGCGCTTGATGTCGGCCACACAGAAACTGCATGTTGAGCTGTTGCACGGCGTCTCAGCTGTTGGACCATCAATTGTTGTAGAATTACCAGAAAAGCCAGACGTTTTGAAGTGGGTTTTGATGTGAATCGTGCTGTAGTTTACATCTGCTTGATGATCCCAGGAAATGATCAGAAACTTGGCATCATTGACAGATTGTGCTTGGACATTCGTTGGCGATTGAAGTCCTGAAAGAAAGTCGTAATCGAAGATTAATCCCTAATTTCCACGCATCAGTAAATGAAGTTCTGATTCCTTAACTAGGCGGACATGTTGGACGGTCAAAAGTGAAAACGGTAACACCAGAAAATAGTTGTGCGAATTTCGTTTAAAATTTGCGCAGAGACAAGAAGCAGCATTTCTATATAATCCAATACTTTATTAACCCTGGGTTCCGGAGGGATCCATTCAGGACAAATTTTGGCAACAAAAGCAGTTTTAAATTTTAGCTTACTTTAGTTCAAGCTTACTTTACTTCTGACCTTGTGTTCTAAAAAAATTGATAACAGCGAAAATCTCTTGCAATTGAACTTTGGTAAATAAAATACAGCTAACTATTTGTTACCGTAGTAGTCTGCAATGTCAGTTATCTCCCGACCGCAGCGTAAAGGCGGGAGATAACTGACATTTCAGGCTATGACGATAGATTCGGTATACAGTGAAACCTGTATCAAGCGGACACCCTTGGGACCCTCACTAGTGTTTGTTTTTAAGCGTATTAGAACCTAATAATAAAGTGTATTATCGTTTGTCTCACGATGTAGTCACTTGAGATGTAGATCGCGACGTTTCGACTGCTTACTGCTAGTCTTCTTCAGGCGAG